TTGATTTGGAAATTAAAAAAAATGCAATATTGAGTGTCTTCTAGGCTGTATTTTTACTTTACTATATATATACATTTTATATTAAATTTGTTTTGGAAATCAAAAGCAATTTACAATTTTGTGTGTCCGTATTATTAATTTACGGAAAGATTTGAACATGTTTAAATTTAATTATTTTATGTGTTTTTATACTAGTGATGCAGTGGAAAGAACGAAGCATTGTGCCATTGTCAAGTATGGTTTCAATTTAGAATATGATTTTTATTCAACTATGAAATTTTGAAATTTTCTGTATGGAGTATGTTAGATTTTCTGTGATAGATTTCAAGTATCTTTCATGAATAGCTAGCTATAGAATCTTTGGATAAGAATTTATGTCTTTTAGAGAAATCTGTGACAGTTTCATTAAAAAAAAATTATTTTCGGATAAATAGTGACGTGGTAAAAACTAGATAGATGTAAGAATTTTAATTAGTCTAAAAATGTCTAAGATCAAAGTTTCTCTAAAAAAGCACAAAATTCTATAATTTTATTAATCAATCAACTGATTACAATAGAATGTCTAAAAAKYTTATTTATCAWAAAATTGAAAAATCCTAGAAATYTCTTGAATATTCTAGAAACTCTAAAATATACACACTAAGATAATAAATACAACTAAAATATAAATACTTGAAAATTATTCTGATTATGCGCTTCATCACTTTGGCTACACCAGTTTAGTATCAAAGACAAAATCCATGTTCTTGTTTTGTCGCTGTCAATCATGCCACCAAGACGTCCTCACGACCAACAAATGGCAGGAGAACCGGTGAATGATTGGGGAGAGTTGAGACAAACCTTACTGGCGATGCAAGAGAACATGCAAGCTACCATTCATGACACGGTTCAAGAGGTAATGGAGCTGTTTAACCCTTTTGTAGATCTCGTCGTGGGAATGGAGGAGAAGATCTGAACCCGAAAAAGGAGGATCATCATTGGGAGTCTGGGTTCAAGGTGGAGCTTGTGGTT